CTATGTCATTAGCCTCTGACACAGATCCTCAAGCCACTACCCCCTGCCTTTTCCATTCAATATATTTTGTCTGTGTTCACAGGTTCCCAGCCTGTGCTGACTCAGCCACCATACATCTCTGCATCCCCTGGACCAACAGCCAGACTCACCTGCACCCTGAGCAGTGACCTCAGTGTTAGTAGTAAAAGCATGTATTGGTACCAGCAGAAGCCAGGGAGCCCTCCTCAGCTCTACCTGCACTACTACTCGGACTCAAGCAAGCAACTGGGGCCAGGCATCCCCAATAGATTCTCTGGATCCAAAGATACTTCAACCAATGCAGCATTTTTGCACATTTCTGGGCTCCAGCCTGAGTATGAGGCCAATTACTACTCTCAAGTGTATCAAAGCAGTGCTATCACAGTGGTACAGAAAGATGAGGAAGTGGGACAAAAACCCTCAGCCCCTAAAATTCTGAGCTTATGTCACTTTTACTAGGGTAAATAAGAACCTCACTGATTTTAATATTACACAAGATATTGGAATCTGGTTTCCATGATGCCACACTATAACTATCATTCATGAACTCCCATAGAAACTCTAGAAAATAAAAGTGAAAAAGAAGAAATATTCTATCAACATTAACAAATATTTTCACTTGTTACCAATTTCTACTAGTGAACGAGCTCTGGCACAGAAGGTGAATTTCATCCAGATTATTACCCATAATTATTATTCCTCTATATTTTAGAAATGTATTTAAACTGTACAGTATGCATATGTACTATGTATTATATGTATTACCATTTCAGGAGACATCAATATCTGCCACCAGGACTCAGTGATTTTTCCTGTAAATTATATAATTAAATATCTTTGGCAAAAAAAAAAAAGAAAAGAAAAGAAAAAAAAGGCACCAGGAAGTAAACATTTAAATGTAAACAGTCATGATACCACTGCAGAATGACACCAAGGGCTTGTTTAATTTTGTATTTTTGTTCGCTTTTTTTTAATTACTTAATTTTAAAGTCATGCAAACAATCCATTGGTAAAAGAATTCAGATGTTTTGGTCCAAATCCTTTGCTCCAAAGTAAAATGAAGAAGAGTTTTAAACATAAGTTTTCTTGCTCTTTATATTTTCAAACCCTAATGGTAACATAT